GGTCTCTGACAGGATCAGAGGCGATGCCGTCCAACTTGCCAAAGTTCTGTTCGAAAAATACTTTGTTACTGTTCTTCAGGTATGAATATTTTCCGCTTTGTCGATGTAGTTCATGAATGCTTGGATTTTTAGACCACTCCCTCATTGCTGACGAGTTTCAGCGATGACGTCATTACAAATCAGATTCTTGGGAGCGAAAGCCGATTACGGGTTCTTGCACTCGGAGGAGAACGTTTTCCGGTCCATATTTTCCGTAAACTCACCGGTATATCGATCAAACCGGCCGTTTACAACCTGTACGGCATCACTGAAGTTTCTTGTTGGGCAACGTGCTATAAATTCGATCCGGGAAAGGAATTAAGGTCTGTTTGAATATGATGGTAGGCATAACCTACACGTTAAAGTCTAGCTGTCATTAAATCGCTGAAAATTGACAGAGTTGCTGCGGAATACAAAACTCAGTAGGAAATTCTAAAAGCCTTGAATCAACATGTCATTCTCCTACTGAATGGGATTGTCAGATTGAGTGCGTGGAGTTCTGGGGAAGCAATAAAGCTGTTTTAGGCTTAAGCGACGATGACAACATAATTACGGAGGACGAAGAGAATTGCATTTGTTAGCCCGTAGCTAATGCAGCCAAAATCTTCCGCATTCATTGCGTTTTAGCTAATCATAGCGGGCCCAGAGACCTTTCGTTTTCTGTTTTAATGGCGCTTGAAGTTTTGCACCAATGCTACTGTCAAATGGAAATTTATAGAAACGTTGAGGTTCGTGGCAGAATACCACTGAATGCAGCGATGCACTCTTAGAATAGTAAAATTCTTCCCGCTTCATGTTGACACTCTGCTAGCTTATATCTCCTCTAAGATTAGATTTCATGGCGTATTGCACTGACCTCTAGGAAATTTAAGCAGGCCACGGCTCAGTGGTATTTGAGGACCTGCGGCATCAAGTTTGGTCTAGAAGGAGATATGCGCTGTTTGATCTACTGCTGTGCATGCAAACATACAGTGATGTTTTTTGCGACACTTTCCTGGGGCGGGGAGGTGTTAAACGCATTCTCTTCCGACTTTGATTCTCCTATATGTGAAGCCACTGCTGTTTTCTTACATATAGATTGAACTGCGGAATTTTTGGTTCAGACGTAAGGAAGTCATAAATGCGTGAGCAGTGCCACTCATAATTTTGACTAGTATTTTCTCAACTGTTGCGTTCATGCGCTTTGTTGTCTTGTTAGTGGTAGTATTTGTGCCCTTTCCACACTGACCTGGATGATTTTAATGATCTCATCTCTCTATTAACCTGTCGTTTATTATCAGTAGATCCCCAACTAACCGAGATATCTGGACTGCAGCTTTTATACTACTTGATTGTATATTCTGATCGAAATGGTGAGTTAGGCTGCCTCTACCGTTCAGTGACGTAAACATTCTTCCCTAGATAATCATGATATTTAATTTGCTTGTAACTGTGAAGACAAACTGAGCTTGGTCCGAATCGTCAATGTGAGTAAAGTTTTTGTAACTTAAACATGTTTTGTTCACGCATCCATTTATGATATCAGGATAGTGTCATCTTCCGCATAAACAAGTCCTCTTCCTTATCGAATTACATTTAATTCGTTTATATACCTGAAAATTATTTGTAAGTGCCTTATTTAGCTTATTTTCATAGTTTATTTGATAGTAACTCTTTAATTCATTTAGAGCATCTGAAGCTGCTACAATAAAGCTGTTTTTAGCCCATATGGTGTTCCTCTCGGACTGCCATTGACAGACACTTCTGTAAAAGTGGAGAAGTTGCAGGGCGATTTGAAAGATTCGCATTACGGCGTGCTGTACGTTGGAGGAACAGGAAGAATTTGCTATGTCGACCAAAATACGCCTATAAAAGAAGCCTGGCGTTGTACTGGCGATGTGGTCATTCAGGATGAGAACGGAAATATGTTTTTCCTTGAGCGAACGGATGATCAAACAAAGCGCCTTGGCAAGAAGTTGAACGTTGAACAGATTTCAGCGGTGAGAGACATTAACGAATTGATTTGATGTAAAGTAAGGACTAAGCGTAATAGGGGGCAGTTCTAGATATTCTTATCGATTCGACGTCCTGTTTGTAATATACTTACTTCTTCACCAATAATATTTGTTTCGTTACTTCGGAACCTTGGATTTACAAGCTTGAGATTTATAACGATTGATAAGACAGGATGTAATTAAATGTCCGTGGATCTCGACACTAAATCTGTAAAACAGTCTTTTGGTAAGAATATGTCACGTGACAAGTTATGGTTCTTCTTTGTAGGAATTCGAAATTCTGGAGCTATTTGCGAATGAGTAGTCGTACAAGAAGGAAGGTTTTTAAACGTTGGTTTGCCGACCTCCCTTATACTTTCATGATTTGAGGCTGTCTCCCTAAATTTCTTTAATTTGTTAAAGTTTATAGTACGGAGCTGAACCTCCGTTTGTATGCCATCGGTCAGCAGTGCCTTATTTTAAGTTTGTAGTGTCCTATTTCCTTCCAGCAGAGTGACACTCATCTATCAATCACAGAGGGAATAAAGGTGACTGACCTTATAGGGACTCTAACCAGGTGGCTGACGTTCTGCCGGCTGAACTACCTCAGTTTACGAATCGTAGAAGGTAGATATTCACAGTACTGTATTGAATTGGAACGTTCATATTTATTTACTTAAGTGTTTTTGATGGGACGTGACGTAAATCCACTTCCGGCAAAGAAAAATGAAGAAGACAAGAAGAGCTCTTCGCGATTGAGAGGAGGCTTTATCTCAAAAAGGAAGTTTGTCAAGGCGAGATATCCTCTCTTATGTTCGTTATTCGGTTGTTTGACGTAGAATAACGTCCTCTACAGAATGCAACGATGAACTGACCATCAGTTACCAAGGCACATTGAATATGTAGATAAACCGCGGTACTTGTGTTACCTACATGACACAGACTACCGAGGGACAAGTTGGTCAACGGCAGTCATCGAAAAGCACGTGATAGCAGCTGCAAGCGTTCGCCACAAAAATTTCAGGCTCCTGTCACGACCGAGACCGTGACCGAATCAGCATGTAGAAATGTTTTGCTGCAGAAGAATTATTTCCAGTTTGCGGTGCCAAGAATTTCAACTAATAAGCTTTTTGTATCTTCGCAAAATCGAATCGTTTATGTTGACATACAAATCTCAGTACATCATTTGCAATTGTTTCTTAAATATTTTCGGCAGATAATGTAACGATTAATAAATTTTTAATCTTGCTCAGATTTTGGCTGATCATGACAAAGTTAGTCAGGTGGTTGTGATCGTCGTTGGAAAAACTTTGGTAGCGTTTGCTGTCATCAGAAGAGAAGGCGAAAAGGAGAGCGAATATCGCTCTCTGGAATCACTGCAAGCGTATGCAAAACAGAGCTTACCTCGTCACTGCTGGCCCGATGTTTGGCATACGCTGGCGAGCATTCCAGCAACGAAACATGGTGAGTTTTGGTCGAGGTATAATCGAACTATTAGCAACCTAAATGAAAACCGGATTGCTGTTTTAAGGTTGTTCCTTAACTTTAAGAAGCTGGTTGGGGGCACCAAGGTGCAAATGTTTCCGCCACTGCTGAATATTATTTCAGTCAATGAACGGTTTATAATTTATCTTGCCTCGATAGACTTTATTTTAGTCTAGTCCACGAGTTTGCAAGTTCAGTTCAAAGGTTAACGCGATCAAGCGCAAGATCGCCAGTTCCATTTCCACCCACTTAGCGCCTCTTCCTTCTGATGTAGCTGAATGAATTAGCTAACAGAAAGCAGATGAAGCCATCCAGTGACCTCGATGGTGTATACATTACTTCAGGAAATCTATGAACTAAAAGACTGTTATAGATCATGGTTCGAACGGTTCAAAACTTGTTTGTCCTTTCTGTTCAGGGAATGGGCGACATGATCGAATAATTTTACCATTCATTTTTCGGGGACTGATACATACTGAAGAGGAAAGGGAATGTTCATATCATTTGAATGTCGGTCGCCTTTACACTTTCATGATTAAGGGCCATTTGTGGTACTCTTTTTTTCCATGAAGGTTATAGTGCGGTGCTGATCTCTATTTATCTGCTATCAGCCAGGAGTACCTTATTTTACAGGCAGTGTCTAAAGGCATGTGACAAACGTAGCGTGTAGTTTCCTGTTTCTTCCTTACAAAGCCGTACTCAACTACTTTGCGAACCTCAGAAGGAGGAATTGCTAGTGGCACAACCAGGGCTCGAACCTCGGACGTCTCGGCTCTGAGTCTAACGCTTTGTCGACTGAACACGCTTAGTTTATGGTTGATATTGATTTATAGGTGGACCCTGAATCCTTCCATCCTTGCTGTTAATTCTGAATGTCCTTTTTTTAGACACATCTGCTTAAAGAAAACAGTGTTTCCCAGCTTCTGCGTATCACTAAAAACCACCTTTATTTTATTAGACCATATTTCGAGATTCATGATTGTTTTCACTGGTAAGAAACTTCTTGTTTAGCTGTGATATGCGATTCTTTGCTTCGGTTCTTACTCGCTTCCCATACGAATACTAAAGTAGGTTCTGACTTAAAGGACAAATTTTATT